CTCGACCAGATAATGAAAGGTTAAAGCTGATGCATTGACCTGTACTGTTGTCCTACGTGGTCTCAGGACACACACACACACACTGAGGGAATTCCTTTTTCACTTTTCGGCAAATCATTCCCAGATTGTTCTGCTGCTTTTGACCTGATCTGCAAAGAGTGTCGTCCACCACCACTCCTGATCTCTTTCAAATTTTAGCAGACGATGAAGAAGAGGAAGTAGAAGACGTTTTATTCCAGATCACTGTGGTGAATTTTAAAGCTGTGCATGATCATAAGAGATGTACACCAACCTTGAGGTCTCTGAGTTCGTCTGGATCAAAGTTCTTCCTCCTCATGAACTTGAGATCTGTGGCCACCTGTAAAATAAATCCTATTAACCCTATACGAGGTGTGTCAGAAGAGTTTCCAGGACTGGTGTCACAAAAGATAGATTTCAAATCAAAACTACAAGTTTCCTCTTCCAGGTAATCTCCCTGGAGTCTAACACACTTCTCCAGCCTTCTCTTCACGCCGCCATGCACTCCTGGAAGGATTCTTCCAGGATCCTCTGCAGCTCCATCATCACAGCCATCTTGACGTCGTCCACGTCTTCTAAATGGGTCCCCTTGATGACCCCCTTGAGCTTGGGGAAGAGTAATAAATCCCAGGGAGCCAGGTGGGGTGAGTAGGGAGGTTGCTCCAGCACGGAGATGTTCTTCTCAGCCAGGAACTGTGGGATGCTCAGGACGTTGTGAGCAGGTTGTCATGGTGAAGCAGCCTCCACTTGTCCTGCCACAACTCTCACTTCTTCTCTGAACAAAGCAAACGCAGCAGGATCTCTTTGTAGACGTGTTGGTTGATTACCTGACGGGAAAACTGGTAGTTTGTAGTTTGGGTTTGAAATATATCTTTTGTGACACCAGTCCTGGAACTTTTCTGACACACCTCGTACTTTGGATTAGAGTTCTTTATTCATCTCTTATCTGTTATACTGTGTCAAGCACCTTGGGTGGAAAGTTGAAAAAACTTAGTGGGAAATAGCTGCTTCCAGTAAGAGTGGAAACCACCAACTATCTGTTGCAGAGAACCACTTGATGTGTGAAAGGCTCTTTAAGACCCCTGGTGGACTCAAGTACAAGAGCTGAAACAGTGAGTGACCAGGAGGTGGTGAATCATGTAAATGTTCAAGTCAGTCACTGAACCTCACTTTCAAAACTCAACTTTGCTCCAGTTCTTGACATCTCAGCAGCTCTGATGAACCAACAGCTGTCTCTCCTCCCACCGCTCCCCTCTGTGAACGTATTGACATCCACCATGAGGTGCAATCAGACGCCTTCACACCCACCTGCTACTTTCTGTAATTCCAGCTCCGCTTATATTTGATTGTATGCTTAAAGAGCCGAGAGCTCTTTATGTTGAGTTGAAAACCAGCAGTTATGCTGCCTTGAAACAGGTCTGCTGCCTGAGAAATGAAAAAAAAAATTGACTTCCATCACAGTATAGGAAAACTGCTGCAGTCTGAGTGAAGCTGGCGAGCGTGTGCCTGCGTACCAACGTTTATTACATGAGTGCTTATGAGATTCAAGCATAATTTTCTAACACAGAAAAGGTGAAGCATGCCCGGCACATCAAAAAAACACATCAAACATTTGAAAGAAGAAAAGAAACGACATCAAAATGCTGTCAAAAGCACGTCACAGCATCATTGTTGAATATACCGCACGTCGATCTGTGCACACACTCTGCCACCTGTCAGTTCATGCCAAAGCAGCAACACAAAGCGTCGACACTAATCATATGCAGTCTCTGTGAGTCTGTGCATCCACCAGGACCCTCTCTTTAAAACATCATATTCATAAGTGGCACATTTTATAAAGGAGAGGAACTGTTGCATGTTTTCAGCCTTCCAAAAGCTGCTAAGAGGCCTTTTTAGGACTCAGAGCAGCAGATGCTGTGGAGCATTGATGGTCGTCTTGTGCCATGTGTTGGAGCTTTTAGATTCTCTCAACACATGGTGCACAAGTGATTTTCCTTTTACTGAAATATTGGCAAAAGGATTGTTGGTCTGTGTGAAGAAATGAGCAAAGAAAAGTCACTCACTGATGGCTGTCAGAATCTTCAGTTTTAAGAAGAATATTTTATAATATTTGAGTAAAACCCAGTCTAGTCTTATGGAGGGTTCATCTGAGTACGTCTTTGTTCACAGGTCCATAATAAAAATGTAAATTCCTGGAATGCAATTAGATACTAATAGCAGTTAAGGGGAAATTGAGACTGCTTTCAGTTGATCCACTTCCACTTAATGAATTGCAGATAATTGCTGGCATAGCTCAAGGAGTCTCTTTGTTAAGTGCAGCAGGTCAAAAGTTATCCACAAATGTAAGATTTGTCCCAAGGCAGGGATGCGACTAACAATTCAACAAGAAATGAGTGTTTTCTTGTTATTAAGGAAATGCTACGTCCCCTGTAATTAGTGCTAAAATATATAGTTCTTGTCAAGTAAGTTCTCAGCAAATATTAAAAAAATAAATAAATAGATAAAAAGTGCTTCATCCATATTAAAAGCTCTCCATTTGCTTAAAACACCAAAACCTCTTGCTTTCCCTTCATGGGAAGCGTTTTGTTCCCAAACATCAGTGAGAAGTCTCATTAGCAGCTTTGCAACACTGTGAACGACAAAGCAGCACATCTGTGAGAATAAATAGAACGTGTGTTAAAAATAAAAAGTCAGAGACGGATGTAACTGTGTGCTGATGCCATCTTGTCTCACAAAACTCATGATGCCACAAAGTTAAACTGCATCCTCAAGTGCATTTAAAAAGAAATGCATTCTCTCCCCCGAAAGGTGCGACAGTGACATGGAAGGAAAGTCTGCGTAAGGCTGTGTAGGTGTAATGGTCTGTGTTAGATTTAGAGCAGTATCTTCGTTAAGATTAGGGTTAACAGCAACTCTGAAGCTTCTCCTCCATTTTCTGGGTTTCCTCTGTGATGAGTCTCAGCCCAAGTGATCGGTTGGTTGAGAAAGAGCTGCAGTAATGCGATAAAATAAATGGTAAAGATCTGTTGGCTAGAAATGTAATTCTGATGCATCATAAGCAAACATAATATGTTTCCTCTTGAAAAGTTACTGAGAATGTAGCTGTATAGAAATGTACTGTTCGTTAGACGAGGCTGTGTTGATGCCATTAATGCTGTGAAAATGTATAATATATTGGATTTAGCATGTGAGCCTGTTTGGCAGTAGTCTTGCTCAGCCGGTGCCAAAAAACTTCAGCAGAACATTATGGTCTGGCTACACTTCATTATCATTCTGCTATAGGGTAAAAGAAACGACTTATTTGTAGTTCTTACAACCAATCGCAATCGTCTTGGACTGAGCTAAGGAGACGATATAGTTTTAGTGTTCTCTCCAAATAGTGACGAGTGTTTTGGTAGAAATATGTTAATCCACCAATTAAACTAGCTGGGCTGCCTGACTGCACGATACAAATCTTTTGCAAAACCTGAAGTTTTCGATGTGGCAGGTTGATGGCCGGAGGTTGTTGTTTTTGTTGCCCATAGCAAAGTGGATTTTGAAACCTAACATGCAGACAGAGGAAGAGGAGGACAAAACAACTCAAAATGAGCGACCGATGGAGGCCAACATCCAGTGAGTACTTCGCTGAGGTACCAGTATTGTTTTTTATACCTGGCCTTCAGTTGAGACTGGTTTTGTGAAGAAACTATTTTATCCACTTTACAGTTAAGTGCTTGTTGAGATCCTAGTCGATCTCACCCTGTACTTATTTGTCTTGGGCACGAATATTAAAAAAAAACATAGCATTTTATAGCCATTTTTATCCACACTCATGTTGAAAAACTGTTTCAGGGTGTTTAAGAATTCAATATGATAGAATACTTTTTATTGATTTTACAGCAGCATTTTAAATGAAAAAAAGTGTCAGTGTGGATGAAGCCTGGGTGTCACAGGTCGATCATGCCAGCAGAACTACACTGACAGTGAAAATCAGAGGTACAGAGCTGAAGCTAGTGGAGGCTTTGAAAATCCTGAACCTTCAAACACCTGCCATCTTCCTGCTGAAAATACTGACTGATGCTTGCAATAGTTCCTCCAGATCCACGAGGCTCTTAGCGGTGGCTCCAGTACACCCTGTTTCCATCAAAACAGGATAGAACTAATACCAGATAGTAATGAGTTTAATGCCATTAGCTCCTCGGTACCTGGTGGATACAGTAAACGACAGAGATACAAACCAAACATTTACGAAACAGATTTTGTCCATACAGTGAGATTTTGGTTTACAAGGCATTGGGTAGTGTTTAGCTGCTCCAGACTGTTTCCATTAATCTCCAAAGGAGCTGTAACAGGAGCTCAAAGAAAGACACAGCCACCATCCCGTAACAACTGTCAGGTTCCCAGTAGGTACTAAACATTCTCCGAGATGTCCTTTGACAATATGGTTACTCTGGGGATTCTCCTCATCACGAAGCAGCAGACAAAAAGGCAGGTAAAATTTTCCCACTCAGTGAAATCAATACAGAATCACCAAAGAGATGAAAATGGCTTTTTTAGATCAACCAATAGTGAGCATTCCAGCAGAGAAGCACAGAGAAACAAGCTTTCACAGCAGACATGCTAGTGTGGTCACCAAGTTGCCAACAAGACTGAAGGTTTGTTGAACCTTTGCTTCTTCCACCATCTTCACTAGGACACTTCTATCAATGAACTCTCCACAACTGTAGAAAAGTTATACACTGTCACTTTGGGGTTCTGTGGTTCCCTTTGACCGTATATTTCCAAGAGGCACTTTTTGTTTGGTTGCCAAGTTGAAGGTGTAGCTGATGAAATCAGAGCAGACAGGAGCAACCAGTGCAGTCACTGAACTGCCACCTGACTTGTAGATCTTTCCATCCGTCCACACAGTTTACTGCGTGTCACCAAAACACGTCTCCTGTAGGAGTCCTGTGATCGCAGAGCACCCACGATTAGGTGAAATCTCTGTCTCTGAGCTTCCTGTCTCACAGAGCCACTTCCTGTCTGTTGGGGTTGCCGTTCGCTGCCGGAGCCATGATGGCGGCGGTGGGCGTTGTCTTTTTGATGGAGGTGAGGCGGATGTGCGAGGTGCTGTGCAGGTAGCTGGGCTGGCGCTCAGGACGAGGACCTCGACCACATCGCAGCTGACTGAGGAGGAACAAGAACAGGAAACAGTAGACTCTATTAAGACTCTGCAAATCTGGCACCTGCATAATAATGATGTAAAATCGAAGCTAAAGGGAAACAAAGAACATAAATCATTACTTTCTGTTTACACAAGCTGACACTTTAAACTGTTTGACCACAAACAGAGTCTTTATGCAGCGTTCTGTTTGTTTGCAAAGGTCTGAATAACTCTGTCAAAGGGAAAGATAAATTACATGAAAGAGCAAAGTGGCAGGACAGAAAACAAAACAAAACTCAGCATGAAAAATTGCACCCAATGAAACTGAATATGGAGAACACAATAGATTTAACTGGACCTTACAGGAGTATTAGTCCACAATGTGCACTCTACAACAAGCAGGCATCGAGTCTCAGGCAAATACAGTCTACAACAGACTGAGCACACCCCTGTATACTGTTACTTTGATATCAAATGGTTCAATATTGTGTCACCTTTCAGCATTATAAGAAGTGAATGTCCTCTAAAAATATACTGAAAATACAGACCTCAAAGTAGGAACACAGTGCAGCAAAAGTGAATAGACCTGTGACCACTGACACCCAGCGTAGGAAACCACTAATCATACTAACAAAACTGAGTGCTGATGATTTTCGATTAGTCTGCATGAATATAAAATCATCCGTAAACCTCTCAGGCTGCATCATGGCTCAACATGGAAAAGAATTGCCAAAGGAGCTGAAAATGTGTGAGACTTTACAAAGAAAAGAAACAGTACCAGAAGATCAGTGACCAGCTAAAACACAGAGTCAGAATCAACGGGTATAGAACGAGCCATGGTACGATGATCAGAGCTACAGTGGCTGTCTCACTAAAATTACCGGATTTTTGTACATTCTAGCTACAGACAGGCAAGTGCTTTAGTCTTAGCTTAAGTGGCATCAATAGAAATCTGAGTAACAGTTCACACAGTGTAAAGGGCAGTACATAATATCAATGTCTATAGATGATAACAGAGAAAAAGAATCTTTGGTTGCTATTCGGAACAAAACTACACGATGAAAAAAAAATCCTGATATATGTTGGGAGAACATAGTTTGGTCAAATGAGACAAAGATCATTTTGTTCAACTCAAAGAGAATCCAGCATGTTGGGGTGAGCCTGTCCAGGACTACCACAGTGAATGTAGAGCCCCAACAGTGAAGCACAGAGGTGGGAGTGGTGATCCGAGTTGTTGCGATATTGTTGTGAAGCTTTGTTTAGTGTATGTCCTGGTTGTTTTTGTGGCTGCTCGTGTTTTTCAGGCTGGGCTGGGTTTGTGGTCTCACTCACTCTCTCCCACACCTGAGGTTCACCAGTAATCAGTGCTGGATGAAGCCTCCACCTGTGCTCCAGCGCCAGTGGATGATTCTCCCTCAAGTGGTAATCGACCAGCATGTTTGCTTAGAAGAGATGTGCTTTGAGAATCTCGCTTTGTCTGCGTTTGCTACCAGAACCTCCCCGACGGACCGACGTGTTCCCCAGCTTCTGTAGCCGAGCTCCAGCCTCAGCTGTTCTGCCTCCCTGTCCCTCTTGGAACCTCTCCTGGATCTCCCTCCCTCAATCAGCTTCCCTCACGTGCTTCCCCGGTGTCCCTTGTTTCCCTTGTTTCCCTGCAGCCTGATTAAATCCCTCTGTTCTAACCACCTGTCCCTGTGTTGCATTTTTGGATCCCTACTACACTGAGACCTAACAGTGGGAGTGTGATGATGTGGTTTAGTGTTGGGAAGATGACAATAGATGTCACCATGAACGTTTGTGGATGTACTATACATATATGGCCTTTGGTTGCATTTAAATATTTTACTGATCTACTTAAAAACATTGATTACATGACATTTAATACATGAAGTCAGAATGGCAAAAACCAGCTTCATCACTGGTGTCCAGTTTGACTGTTTGGTTGCTAAAAGTTAATGCGCTGTGTGGTATAATGCTAAAACCATGACTTGTTACAGGTAGCTTAGCCAAGGACCAACACAACATGACAAAACCAAAAACTCATATCCTGTGGTTAACTCTCAATCAACCCACTCGTGTATTAACTGTATGAACTGTGAAGCTGGCTGCCTCCAGTTGGCGACCACCTCTGATCTTGATAACTGGTGACGGTCGACAGCCTCCACTGAGCTGTACCACCACATGAAGATAACCAGTGGAGCTGTCCTGTAAACAAACTCATGTTTACATTCATACCAGAACCCCATGTGAGTAACCTTGACACCTAACCAATGTCTTGTATGCATTTCCTTCACAATAAAACATTTATGAAGCCGACATTTTTAATATTTTAAATCCTGGATGGTTTTCCTCGTCTTTTATCTTCTTCTCTGCCTTTTCCTTGAACAAGGCTGCGTTTGCGTTTGGTCACATGTGATCCTTGTAAAGCTGCTCACAGCAACAATTCTCATTGAACTAATAACCCTGTTCAGGACTTTCATGTTGAACAAATATGTGTAAATTATTTGTTGGTATTCATTATAGACGGTTATACTATGTGTTACGTGCAGAGTGGAAGGTTTCTGTGTGTGTGTGTGTGTGTGTGTGTGTGTGTGTGTACGTGTGTGTGTGTGTCCACCTCTCTCCTGTAGGTGGGAATTAGAAGATTGGCTGCCACCAGTGAGTTCCTGCTTCTGCCACCCGTGAGCTCCTGAAGAGCAGAGGATTGGCTCACACTCTGGCCAGTTAGCCAATCAGGACAGAGGAAACCCCTTTAAAAGCCCCCTAGCTCCTTTGTTCTCCCTCTTGCTTTGCTGCCATTTGAATGTTGTTGTCAGCTTGGAAGGTTTGTGGTGGGAAGGTAAAAACTGCAGTAAGACTGGGCGCCCTGTACACTGCACATGTCGTTTACTTTTGTTTTTAGGTACACTCGGTTATGTGTTGGTGCCACCATTGTAAGTTTTGTTTCTCCATTCTTATTAGGTAAGATAGCCAGCCTTTTGTTTTCCTTTCCTTTCTTCATAGAAAGAGCTGAGTTAGGTTAGATTTTATTTCTCTTGTTTGGCACAGCCCCACAGTTCACCGTTCCCCCACATTTTTAAAACCTCCATTTTGTTGTTCAGTTGTAATTCAGAAACTGTAAATAAATGCTATTTTTTCACTGCCATCCATCCCGCCTTTGAGTTTGTCCTTCCTTTATGGTCAGTGTTATCGTTTCTGTTTGCTTCTTGTAATGAGAAACGTAACGCTATGATAAATAAATATTCTGATAAGTTGTATTTTTGGTTCCTAATGCGTGACAAATGTCCCTCTTTTTATATTTAAATAAAACAATACCTGTCACCTAAACCAAATGGCCTGGGGTTCAAAAGACCCCAAAAGTCCTGAATAGGGTGAATGTCTGAAACCCTACAGTGTACCCTAACTAATGTAAAGAAAATGTAGCCTCACTATGTTCCAGTCTGCTGTTTTCAGCCTGTTGTAGAGCCTGTATTTGCTGTCTGCAGGCCTGATGCTTCACATTAAAAACATTGGTGACTCCTGGACTGACTTCTTGCAAAAAAAAAAAAAAAAGGTCCAGATTAAAATCAAGACATTGCTTTTTGTTGCAAATTGGTATTAAATATTGGAGAGAGAAGACATGTACATAAAGAATGCAGCTGGCATGTCCCCAGTATAATATGGTCAAACGACACTTTCCAACTGTTTTCATATTTGTCATTTTTTAAAGCAGAATGCCAAAACAATCCTTCCTAGCTTCTTGGATTTGAAAATTCTCATTCAATCATAGCCTTCTATGATGGCAAAAAGAAGCATCTCTTGGTCTGTGATTTATAGACGTCTGTATTGATGGACATGTTTATTACCTGACAGCCCAATCTACTCATTATGTTCTCAATTCACCATTAATCGCAGCCTTAATGCAAAGTCTGCATTACATCATTTATAAAACTTTCAGACTTTGGGTGTTTGTGGGTGTACGCATATGTAAGTTTGTTCCCCAAAGTTGTAATCCTTGGAAACAGGGAAGACTGTTAATTAGCTCTCCAGGTGCAAGAGGTGAGGAAACATTTCTGTACTTTATGTAAATCCTCACACTTGGACAAATATCATTGTTCAGCTGGTGCTTCGTTTTGAGTTATAGAAATACATTTCAAAAAAATGGTGAATTGCTATAATTGCTCCCTAAAGGCACGTTCTTATTTTTGCTACTTATTCTCTGCTGCTTCTGAGGTGTCAGGATTTGCCTGCAAATCTGACCCAAATGAGCAGCACAAAGCTCGTCCCTGCTCTGCTGTTTCCCCCTGCGTCACACTTTTTTTTTTGTTGGGAGGATTGTGCCAGAGTTGCCTTGTGGAGCCGAAGAGGGTTTCCATCCTGCTCGGGCAGAATAATGATAAGTTTCAGTATGTTTAGTGGAAGTGGAAGCACTCAGAGGGAGTTTTAGAAAATGACAAGGCCATGATTACTTCATTTTTTGGCAAAGTTATGAAATCCCTTCACAGTTTAAAAAAAAAAAAAAAAAAAAGCTGTTCCCTGAATCTAATTCTGAATGCTCGACCAATGTTCAGCCTTCTGGAAAGTTTTGATTAGTCTACTATTGCAATTTAATGTGGTCTGTGCACACAGAGTGGAAAACATCAGCAACACCCTGCCAGCACGGAGCAGCGGCAGCCAATCAGAGAAGAGGCTCAGTCATCTGCAGAGGTTTTCATCTGAATCCTCCCATCGAATGGACCGACCGTACATTTGCATTTTATTGGTACAGTCAACAGACAAGTGTAGAGCTGTTCAAGCATTCGCCCTCTGCATGTTGTCCATCTCTTTTATGGTGACAACAGTTAATTTGAAGGATAATACAGCGTTCTACTTTCTCTGAAGAGTGTCCAGTCAGTCAGTTTCACTGCTCAGCAGCAAATCTACAGAAATCTGTGTAATGTAGAGAGAACATTTACGATAAAAATGGAGCACTGAAATCTTGACGCCAATTTCTGCTTCGAAAGGTTGGCTTTAAGTGATGACAAAGTCATATGTACGTTTATTTATATATATGAAGAGTTCATTTGCAAAAACAGATAACTCCATTTTTGTAGATTTTCAGAAAACTTATTTCTTTGTTGTTTGCTTGAGATAATATCAATCAAATTGAAGTTGAGTGGATTTGACTCAGTAGAAATGACAAGAATAGAGATAACTTAAGTTTGATTGATATTGTCTCAGGCAGACGATGGAAAACTGGGTTTACTGAAGGCCTGTGAAGACAGAGTTATCTGTTTTTGCAAATTAACTTTTTTTCCAAATCCTTTATTTTTAATTTTTTGTGTGTTTATTTTGCTTGGGTGTAAATGGATCTTCCAAATGGACAATGACTCTAAACATACCACCAGATTAGTTACAAACCGACCTCAGGACAACAAAGTCCATGTTGTGGAGTGGCCATCACAAAGCCCTGATCTCAGTCCTGTAGAAGATTTGTGGGCAGAGCTGAAAAGGTGTGTGGAGCATGACAGCCGACAAACCTGACTCAGTTCCACCAGTTCTGTTGGAGGAATGGGCCAGAATTCATCATCAACTATTGTGAGAAGCTTGTGGAAGGAAACCCAAAAGTCATATAATTTAAAGGCAACGCTACCAAATACCAAGGAAATGTATGTAAACTTCTGACTTTGAAGAAAGTAGTAAAACATTCTCTTAAAAAATTCTCTCTCTCATTATTCTGGCGTTTGGCAAATAGAAATAATGTTGGTAATCCTGACTGACCTAAAACAGGAGAAGTTTAGTCACATTTAATGTCAGATAGTGAGAAAAAAAACAGGTCATGTGTCTTGTTATACAGTGTCTGTAAACTGCTGGTTATAACTGTACATGTTCAAATCTAAGTCATGTGTAAGGCGCATTAACACTGAAGTAGTTTAACCAACATTAACCTTTGTACATGGATTTGTTAAAGGGAGATTAAATCCTAAAGACAGACTCATTGTTGCCTCTCAGATTTAAGAATTTGTTGAAGAATAAAAAGCTTTTCCCACAAGAACTGTGTACCAGGTATAATCAGCTGATAAAAATCCTTTTTAAAAATGAAAACATTAAAGTTTCATTTTGGTAAATTTTGGTCAAAACAGACAAATTACGTTGAAATTTTATTTCATGATTTTTTGTTGAAAAGCAACAAAAGAGAAAAACTTCCAGGGCGAGTGAATACTTTTTGCAGGCACTCTGTAAACACAGCATGACAGTTACTAATGAAACAGTGTGGAGCACAGCAGGGTGCAGCTTCTGCTCGCTGTGAGAATTTATCTCTTTTGGGCCAGAACCTCCAGCAGAATGACATTCTCTATTCAATAGAGGGATGTTCTGGGATTCACGCCTTCCTGTATCACATGGGGACTGTCGCTGAGTTAAAGAACAAACCAAGTTTTTCATGTGCTCATCCTTCTTCTATTTGTCTCATGAAGTAAACGTGTGAAGAGTCCTTTGTCTTAAATCACGGGTCTGAACCTCTAAAAACGTCTTTATTTGTCTTCCAGTAACTAAACCCTGTCACAATGTTGGTATGTTTTTATAAATACTTTCACGTCGTCCAGGTTTTGGCTTTCTGTTGAAGTAATTGTTACGGCCCCAGAGCCTCTGTCTTCTCTCACTCTTGTCTTGCAGGTGTCTGGCTGGGCGGAGCCTCCAATCTGCTCACCTGGTGCACCTGGCCAATCTCACTGAGTATATAAGCCGGCCTGCTGTGCCAGATCGCTCTCTTCTCCCATACCCAGCCAACCATGCTCCTGCATGTCCTCCATGCGTTTGTCTCTTTTTGTTTGTTTCATGCTGACAACATGCACCACACATCGATCACTGCACTCATACACCCTCGCACACCACTGACGCTCACAATCACACCTCACGATTCTACTTTGTTTTAATAAACAGCCTTATGTTATAGCTGAACCCACCTGTGTGTTTCCTCCTTTGTTGCGGCCTAAGAGCCAGTCGTAACAGTCATTTCGCCTTCATACGATGTAGCTCATTTAACTTCTCACTAATCATCCAATCAGTCTTACAGTACACGTACTCTGTTTACTCCCTGGTGTTCTTCATGCAGTTGCCAGTGATCAGCTCTCCAGACATTCTTGTGTGTCTGGTTTCTTGTGTATTTCCTCATGTTTGACTATTTGCATATTTTCTGTAAATGAGTCTTTTCTGCTAAAGTAAAAGACTTATTTTATGCATTTTAACCTCATCTCCTGTATCTACCATGTGGGTCCTTTTCCTCTGAACACTGGCAGAAACACCACCAGTGGCATAACGTACCAGTTTTTATTTTAGTAGTGGAAGGCGGACAGGATCTCTAAACCCTTATTTGAGCTGAGTGAGCTGGTTACAAAGTGCTGCCTTCGCTGTGTCATTTACTGACCAGTGTCACCCGGGGGAACGTAAGGGTGAGCTCATATCTGAAAGCTGTCATTATTGTAAAATAACTCTCCAAACATATTATCTGTAGATGCCACCAAAGACCCGGAGACACATTTGCTAACTGACCTGTTGAAGTGCCTGCGGAAACTCTCGCTGAGCAGGTAGAGGGCGAAGGGGTTGACGCAGGAGGAGGAGAAGCTGAGGACTCTGGCCAGCAGGGTGATGACGAGGTGGGCCAGCGACAGATCCATCTGGTGGTAGTGGAAGGAGCGGTACATGTAGAGCACGTGGTTGGGGAACCAGCACAGGGCGAACAGGCCCACAAACACCAGCACGATCTTGGCCAGACGCTTCCTCGTCTCCATCTGGAACGACAGAATCTGCAAATTAAGTCTCTTACCTGCAGTATACCAGACAGAACTCTACTACAGGTCTTCAACTCTGGCTCTGAACGTCCTGACAGCATTCAGAAACACAAATGTGGTGCAGAATGTTACGTCAGAACGTCTCCATGTCGGTGTCTTCTTACACTCGCACAGAGACGATTATTGAACTCTTAAAAATAAGTTTTTGTGCAGCTTCATTTTGAATAATTTGAGGATAAATCTGTGAGGAAAAGTAATTACTGTGCGGATTATGTTTAGTGATTGCTTGGTGTACAAAGGACTCTGACGTCAGAGTTTTGTGTCCACGTCCTGCTTGGAGGGAGCTTCACACCACCAGCTTTCCTTCTGCACCACTTCACAGATATGTTTTGCTTCTGCAGGGTTCAGAGAAACTTCATCACTGTCATGTGTGGCTTTCTTTCAAATCATTTTCATGACTAGTGGATATAATTGTGTTTGTTAGGAGGGATGCTCCACATCCAACCTGTGTGAAGACACAACAGGCAAAAGCCCCTCAGGGAGGATGTCGAAGCGGATGGACGGGCCAACAGAGTGAGAGAATTTGACATGAGCGATCAGCCTCGACATCTTGTTTCATCTTGTCTCCTGCCAACAGACGGTTTCCTTTAACCTTCACAGCGATCTTTCCATCCTCAGATGTTTGACTGACCAACCAGTGGCAGATCACAAAGCCGTCACATGTGACTTCTGACTAAAGCCAAAAAATGCTTTTACATGTTGTTTGGTCTCACATTAGTCTAAGTGAACCCACATCATCCCACCTCCTTTCCATAGAAACAATCCTCATATCTGCAAACCAAAAGAACAAAAAAGATTAAAAGGCTCAGATCTGGTCTTCTGATGATCATTCTGAATTCTGTCGAGAACCAAACAACTCTGTCCACATACTTTTTGAAAGTTATTTGATTGATCTGAACCATATATTTAACCACAAACACTGTGTGTCTTTGTTGGTTTTAGCTTGTTTGGTCTAACCCTCAGTAGTTTCATGTGTTTTGTTACCAATCTGTTCTGCATCTAAGATGTATTCAATTGTGGAGAAATCTGTTGGTTACTTTCTTAATTAATTGATTTGTTATTTGATCTACAAAATGTCAGAAAACGATGTAAAATGTCGGTCAGTGTTTACTAAAAACATGCCTTCCTTTGTTTACAACCCAAAGACATCAGTTCACTGTCATACAGGCGGAAAGAAACTTGAAAAAATCGAATTCAAGACTCAAGACTTTTAACTCATTAATCTATGATCAGAACAACTGGTAATTGATATCAAAGTTGGAAAATAATAACCAAATCATTGCAGCCTTTTTTCTGTTTGGACTTGTCAGCTCGTGTCTTTGTCGTCTGGTCTCATCCCGTGTTCCTCAAGTCTTCCCAGTTTGTACCTTGTTTGGTTTTTAGCTTTGGTTGCATTTTTTTTTATCCTGCTGCTATTTGTTCCTTCTACATTTCTTTGCCTACCTGGATCTTTTATTATTTTCTTGTCTTTGTTCCGTTCTATTTTTTGCCTCCATCTGCGCCCTCATTTTTTGCCCGTCTGATTTTGTTATTTTTTTCCACCAGCGCAGGTAAAACTGGCTTTTTGTCCTTCAAACTTGCCTTCGGTGTCCTGCCTTTTGGGTTTTCCTCCTTTTTGAACTGAACAATAGTTAGAAATTGTCATATTTTGAGCTGCAAAAACTCTCACACAGAATAAATACACAGATTCACATCAGTGAACTTATTGTGGCTTAACTGTGTTTGTCTGCCTGAACACTTATGCTTACGAAGAATCTATTTACTATTATTATTTTGTGCTGACATCCAATATTGTAACATATAACCATAACTAAAGGACCCAAATGAACCCATGAGGCAGCCTTTAGATCCCTGAGAAGCAGCTCAGCAGCTCTATGTAACAACAACTTTAGATAAGTCACAAAAAACATTACAAGCTATTGCAAAAAAAAAAGACAAAAACACACAAAAATGTTGCTTACTAGTCAATAAAAACTATGTGATTCAATTTATGTTTGTTTGTTTGTTCTGTTTTCCGCTGGTTGGAATAAAGCAGAATAAAATCCTAAAGCACTGAAGCTACAAATGGCTTCAAAATCCATCCTGGATTCACGCGGTGACGACACCCAGCAGTTGTTTTACACCCACAATCACTTATTCTGGTGGGAAAATGTATCAGGCTTGACAGAAGTGACGCTTTGACTCCCACTGGGAGCTGAATGCTAAAAGCTTCCTCCAAACTGATGGAGCCGCTCTGAGCGACGGACGGAGGAGGAGAATGGGTTCAGGACAATGTTTGGACAGATGCACTGAGTGAACACCATCGTTGGAGGAGGCTGACCTTGTCAAGCGGATGCTCGGCGATTGCCCGAGACACACGGAAAGGTCACGTATGTCAGTCAAATGCACTTTACACAGGTCAGCCATCTCTGCACGCCGGAGTTCAACTCAACACAAGCACAGAAAAATGTCAACAGTGTTTTTTCAAAGTGCCTCTCTGTGTGATGCAGACGTCAAACACTTTAGACCTCCAGACTTTTCTGATGCACATATTCCCGATGCTTTCAGAGGCAGATCTCAAACAAGAGAGCAGCAGACAAATGATGTCCTTCCACTGTGCTGTTTTCTTTTAAGATCCATTATAGCTACAGTTTATGTGCAGAAATTAAATGGAGCTAACTGAGCCTTGAGTCCTGAACAGACAATCAGCTTTGCAGCACGTGACGTCGACACAAAAAGCCACACGGAGCTCTGGGTGGAGGAGATGATTTTCCCCCAGGTGCTGATAGCTTTTGTTCCTCCTTTCACCTGCATTAGTTTGATATGTCAGCGAATCAGTGAACTGCACTGCACTGCAGTGAACTGGAAGGAGAGACACAGTGAACCGGTGCAGCGTAACAAAGACGTGAGGGATTTGTGTTTAGGCCAAGAAGCACATCAGGTTTGTGATAATCTGAGCTGTTTGGATGTTACAGGAGTTAATCTGCTCTTGATGGACTCTTTGGCACGACAGTTTGATTTAGGTTTCAATCAGAATAGATTTGAGCTTCAGTCACATTTGGGTGGTTTGATTTTTGTTGGTTTTAGTGAACGAAAACTACATCTCATCTAGTTTCTTTCTCAACTTGTTAATGCAGTGAGCTCTTAATATCGAGGAAATGATCCCAGACCTGCTGAACTTTCACTTCAGACTCATGATTTAATCCCATTCGGTGAGTCCTGGTCCTTCTGTGCTTTTCCAGTTTTGTAAAACAAATCCTGGTGCAATAATGTAGATATTAATTCAAACTTTGGTGACAACTTGTGGCAACAGATTTTTGTAACTGTACACCACAGAGATGCTGTCAGCTGCAGTTTAGAAATGCTGGCAAGACATTCATTCAAAACGTGTGAAAAAAACTAGACAAAACTCATAAAACCCAAAGGATCTGCTGCCAGTGTGCTGGTCCCAGACACCACAGGGCTTGTGGACTCCATCCCCAGTGGATCAGAGTTGTTGTGGCAGCACAAAGTGGTCGTACACAACATTAGGGAGGCGGTTTTAAGGTTCTGGCTGATGGTAAAAATCTGGACTTCTCTCTCTGCCAATTCTGCTCACTTTTTCTGAACATCAGTAGAGATGGTGGTGGTCTCTACTGAAGGGCAGCAACTTATCCAGAACTTGTTCATAGTCTGGGTTTATCTGGAGAGGCTAAACTGTACGGACACAATAATACAGAAAATAACTCTGACAGAAACGCAGACAAACAACTGAACATAATCATACATCCACAGCATGTGATGCTAACTTACTTCCTGATAAATGCCGGCCTGCTGCCTCCATGTTTTCACAGTTTGTGGGAAAAGTGTGATACAGTTTGTCAAAGCTTACTTTTCATTTTGCTTTTGTTGCATCATCGATAAATATTTTCCACACAGTGTTCACTGACTAAATGGACCCTCTTCAGACGTCCCTGCTCCGCTTGACGCACACTGACAAGCGTTTTAAAAACACCGTCCAGGAGGCCTTAATCTGAACTGGGTTAGATTCAAATTCAGCTACAGCTTCTAGTCGGATTATTTAAATGCTGAAAGACAATTAAGATAATGTGAAAACAAATTGAAAATACTCTTTTATTGCAGGACCTCCTTTAACCCACTTGAGGCACACCGACTTGTTTTACCTTGAAAACTTCAGTAACCATGAAAATGTAATAGATGCACTGATCGATTGTATGTGCAATGTAAAAGCCCTGTATAGTTTTACATATATTTAACACTGAGCCTTCGAAAAACACATTTGTATTCTCTGAAAATATTGTAAAAAATTATAACTTTGTTTTGTGCTTTTTTGGTTTTAGCTGCCCTGTAAACTCCCCACAGTTCATGTGGTTAAAGAGAAGCTCAGCAGCACCTCATGTCTGCATGATGAATGGACATAGTTTCA